TCTCTTAAGAGCTTTTTTCAATTTCAAGAGCTATTAAAAACTTTTTAACCTTTACATAATATATACAAGAGAGGTTAAGGGTTAGAAGAATTAGAGAAATTTGACGAAATCAATCCTTTCCGATTAAGGGCAGGACTCGACTCGAGCAAAGACCGAGAGAAAGAAAAAGAGAGGAAATGAGAAAGGTGGAGGAATTCATATGAAACCATTCGATGACAATAAAAAAGAAAGCAACTGGGATTTTATCAAGAGAAAAAAATATAAAAAAAATCTAAATATCCAAATAAAGAGCACGATACATACAAACACGATATTGATCCGGTGATTGAATTTTTTGTCCTACACTTAAAACTCTCATTCTCTAAATTAATTATTCTCCTAAATAAATAAATAAATAAATAAATAAAAATAAATAAATTAATTAATTAATATATATATATATATATAATAAAAACTTTATACCCATCATTTGTCAGCCAAAATGAAGCTTTTGTTGAAATTGGGAGATTTGTAAATAAATATATAAAAAGAAGTAAAAGCGCTCAACCCTTGACTTCGAAGCCATGGTCAAAAAGTGGCATATGACGTCATCTTCTTCCAGCTGGCCCTTGTCTGCCGGCCAATAAGAAAAGCAAGCCACCAACGGATATGTTCTTATGCTGCCCCGGCGGACCATTTAGAGCTTCCTTTCGCACCACTAGAATTCCCCACGTGGCACGTTGTCCCCACTGCCCATTGATAACGGACGCTTTCGCGCTTCTGTCTCTCTCTCTCTCTCTCATCTCTCCTCTGCGCGAGAGCGAGCAGGGTTGGGGAAACCCTAAAACCGATATGGGGAAATTGATCTGTGATTCGACTGCAGTCACCGAATCCTTAAGACCGCCTCCTCTACTCCTACCTTGGCCGGATTCGTGCATGCCGGCGGCGGGAGTGGGTCCCGAATCGGTCTCGAATGGGGGGTGGGACGCGGTTAGAGGGCTTGAGGAACAACAGCGGCGAAAACTGGAGAGCATTTGCGCGAGAGGGGTTTACTGGAAGAATACGCAGGAAGGTACGGTGGCTACGGGGATGGCGTTCAGACTTTCTCACGGTGGCGACGTGGAGAGTGATGGGAACTGCCTCTTTACGGCGGCTAGACGGGCAATGGGAGCCAAGCTTGGGGTCAGAGATCTCCGACTGAGGACGGTGAGGCGGTTCATGGAGGACCACGGATCGAGCAATGGCCCGGGTAGAGAAGCTGCCGATGCCGCCGTCCGCCACCTCTACTCACCCGATCTACAGGTAGGATGGGGAGTCCATGTTGTTCAGGAGGTGAAGCTGCTCGCTAGGAAGGCGGATCGCGAAGCGCTTGACTCTGCCATACAGGAACTTGTAGATCTAGGCCTGCAGAGGTAGATTTCGTGCCTTTTATTTATTTATTTATTTTTTCCAGCTTTTGATATTTTCGTTCAGGAAAATTGAATTTTGTGCTAAAAACGATGAGTTAAATCTTCAATGATCTCAAAATTATTCTCCCAAACGGAAATGATACTTGATTCATGCTTCGTGATGTTTATTTCTTGCTATGATCTCATGTATTATTGCTTTCCGGAAACAATTTCATCAACAAATTTATAAAGAGTTGTTCTTCCTTTTCTCTATTCTTTCGTATTTGGATGTTTCTCGTTTAGAATGTATATTTATTTCAGTTTCTTTGTCTTCCTAATACGTCTAATGAAGCGATTATATTATTAGGGCATTTACATACATGACACATAATTATTATGTAAACATGAAAGTTTAGGTGTGAGATATGTAAATACATAAGAATTGTGTGCTAGTATGTAAATTTCCCATTATTTTAAATGCATGATAATGATTTGAAATGGTATTAATATTTAGTTTTAACTTTGGCTGATTTTCTATTTTAGGGAAGTTGCAGCGCAATCTATTTACCAGGAAAGATGTATTGCAGTAAATGATGTGCATAGTTGGGCTAAATTTATGTCCATTTCTGGCTCCATGGAGGATGAGTATGACATTATCACCCTACAATATACAGAGGAGGGATTATTAACCATAGATGAGAACCGAGATGGTCGTGCTGCGGCTTTTGGAGATGACATAGCAATTGAGAACTTGGCAACGGAATTCAAGCGTGAAATCTTTGTGGTGAGTGCCTTTTGTTGTTAGGAGGTTTAGATGCATACCACTCATTTCCTATGTATTTACGTATCCAACATCTAAGTTTCAATTTTTATATTTCTTGTTTTTAAGTTAAAATGGTGATATTTTTTATGTGATATGAAAGATTTGGGTGGTATTAATTTAAAAAAGTAAACTTCAGTTGTTATATATATGTAAATTCATAGGAATTGGGTGTATGTTTGTAAATTCCTTTGATGTTATTGTATTCAAATCGTTTTAGTTGTTTTAAGTTGATATTCTCTTTGCTTACTGGTTGAAGGGATATTTTCATGATGCATTATGATAATCTGCCAGTTCTTTTCATTTTTTGACAGGCTTCAATTTTTATATTTTTGATGAGTATTCATACATTACCTTTTGTTAATGCCTTTATTTCGTCTTCGGTATGAAATTTGGTGTCTTGTACCAGATTAAACTCGAATGTTACTTTTTTCTAAATGATAAAATCGATCTGTTTAGTGTATGGATTTCCATTCCATCATTTTACTCGGGGTTTCTTCTTGGTGAATGCTCCCTTCATTGGCTGAAATCATTTTCCTTTTGTTCCGAAATTTTCTCTCCTTTCCATTAAATTCTCATTCTGCATTTCTTACACTTTATTCTCAGCCAAGTTGCTTGAGTAAGCTTTAGATTTTTTGTATCTTGTGTGATGTTCATCGGTTTTTGAGCAGACAGTAGGAGAAGATCTAAGGATGAATTAAGGCTCTTGAGGATCTTTTGTCCACTATATTCATAATTAGCCTTATTTTACTTTTATATCTTCTCTTATTTCTCACTCAAACTTTTACGTTTCCCTTTCCTATGTTCTCTTCTTCATTCAATCTCTTAATTGAAAATAAGAGCATAGGAGGAAAACTAAAGAGCTTAGCTTTGATATAGAGCTTATAGAAGAGTAGTGAGGGGTTATTTATACTTTTTAAGAATTGAAGGCCAATTTAAGAAGTGAAGCATGGTGATACTTGCCTGTAGCTGGAGAGATATTCCCTAAGAACTATAATAAGAAGCTAGTTTTAAGCCTTGTAGTGAGTTGGCCTCATTGATTCATGAGTTAGATCACCTAAGGAATGCTTATTATTTGATGTCATCAAGTTGGACTTTAAATTCTGAAGCACCAGCTTGGTCCTGTAATATTAGTTTATTATTTGATGTCATCAAGTTGAACTTTAAATTCTGAAGCACCAGCTTGGTCCTGTAATTTCCTTTCTCTCTCTTGTAATTCATTTAGATCTCCATGGTACTAGCATGCTTGCGATTTGTTGGAGGATATTCAGAGACATTTGTCACGCTCCGCGACATTCGAGAAATCATCTTCATATTCAAACTTTCATAACAAACAAGAGTGGTTGCGGAGTTCCAAATCTATAGTTACTATAAGATATATATGCATGACATCATCATCTAAATTTTGTGTGATTTTTTGCGAGAAATCACGGTGCATCTCTTTAGCAATTTATCACAATTTGGCTGATAATAATATTTTTAATTGACACAGAATATAGTGAAATGATTTTGATGATGCAACTTGAGCGGATGGGTGCACAGCGAAAGATGATAAAGGAGAGCATCATTTGCAATTAGGGGCATTTACATACATACCACTCAATTCACATGTATTTACATATCTAACACTTAAAATTTCACTTTTTACATTTATACTGCCCAAATCTTTAACATCACGTCAAAAATATAACCATTTAACTTTTAAAAAGTGAAATACATATTTTCATGAAAGGTAAGGTGGATGTTGTAAAAGGTAAGGTGGATGTTGTAAAAATTGAAGTTTAGAAGTTAGATAGGTAAATATATAAGAATTGGGGGTTATGTATGGAAATCTTAAAATTATGCCATTTGAGGCATGCCTCTTGGTGAGCGCTACAACTTGGCCCAATATTTGGAATTTTCCAAGATGACAAAAGACGGTCAGACGATAAAAATCATATATATTATATTTCTTTACTAGATTTAACATTTAATCATCATCCAAACATAATTAAAAGAGTCACTATAAAAAAAAAAATTGTCAAATTTAGTTTATTTCAGTTTACCCACATCATTTATAAACATGTCATACTCTATTACTCATATTTAAACAAAAGGTTAAATCTAAAAAAAAAATTATGCTAAACACAATGAGCTAAGCAAATAGGTGGAATATGGCTAAGATGTTGTTGCTGATGATATTTAATTTTTAATAGAAATATTAATCTCTTATCGGTTAGGTCTTTATTAAAATTAATGAAACTCACCTGATTATTGAGCCAAAAATAGATGACCACCGGCATTTACATTTTTAATATTCTTAATATAGACCCAACTTTTTTTTTGGAAGAAACAAAGAACAACAATCAGACTCTGACCAAATGTTATCATGAAGATCACAATGTCAGCTTTTTTAATGGAAAAACCGAAGAACAACAATCAGACTCATTTTTTATTATTTATAACGTTGATTAAAGCAATCATAAGAATCCATAATTTATTGAATCCAGGTTCATTTGATTGCTGAAAATCATGGGAAAAATAATGCATAATTCAATGTTTCGTATCTGATAATGCCACCCAAATAGGTGGGATTTGGCTAATATGATTATGCTGATGATTGATTTTGAATAGAAAATTTAATTTCTTATCAGTTAGGTGTTTATTAAAAATAATGAAACTTATCTGATTATTGAACAAAAAATAGACAACCATCTGCATTTACGTTGTTAATATTTTTAATATTGACGAAGGAGCTAACACTTTTCTGAAAGCAAGTGCATAGAAATCTTAATAAGTTTTTGCTCATGAATCAGTTGTTTCCTAAAAACTATTTGAAGTTGCATGGATGAACGTGAAATAGTTCAGTTCGGCATCTGATAAAATGATTTTTAAAATATTAAACGTCATGAGGAGAGCTTTCACCTAAACCAAGTCATCCTGTTGGTCCCTAATATAGTTTAATGTAGAATGGGTAGTTTGTTTTTAGACTTTTTTTTGCGTGTTCTTAGCTTTAGAACAAAAGAAATTTCTTAGTGATACGAACTTAATTTACCTCATTTTATCCTCAGACGTGGCATTTTCTTTCAGAGTGAATCCATTTTCTGCTATGAACTGCAAAAAAAATGTCATGGGATTAGTTGTTTGACTTATATCAGCAACCAATGAACTTCTTACATCATGGGGGGTTGCTTGTTTACATGCATAACGCACTATTTTTATGTATTTACATATCTAACACCGAAACTTACATATTTACATGGCCTAGCACTCAAGTTTGTAACATAAAAATACCACTTTTACTTTTTAGAAGTAAAATATACCTTTCATGCATAGGTTTATGAGACCAGAAGTGTTATAAAGGTAAATATAGAAGTTTAGGTGTTAGATATGTAGATACATAAAAACTGTGTGTTATGTATGTAAATTTCCCTTAAATAAAACCAGAGGAGATTGTTATTTGCTAAAAAGAATAGTTCACGAGTTCTCCATGGTTTGACCATTGAATTATGATTTTCTGTGATAGGATTTTTAATGCTAGCACTTGATTGCCAGAATGTTTCAGAAGTATTTGTAATGAATGCAAAATTCTTAGCGACTTAGGATTTATTGCGTAGCATCTGTTTCATGATGTTTGTCTTTTTGTGCAGTGCACCCTCTAATTTTAGGATAACTGTTACATATTTGTTCTCAAAACAGTTCTGATAAGGCCAATGATTTGTCAATTTAAAATTGCTTTTGAAGTAAAATGAATATAAGAATGACGTTATAATCCATTAATTTCATACTGAAAAGGTTGTAGTAGCTCTTTTCGTCCCTTTTTCAGTTGTATGCACAAAAAATTGATTTCCTTCCGTACTTATTTTGAATAATTCTGTTACTGAATTACTCTGGTTAGATCAAAATGCAGATTAACAGTAATTTTGATTCCAAAATTTTGTAGCTTAGAAAGTTTGGATATTTTTTTGTTCCTTTCAATGAATATTAAAACTGACTAGGAATCAACTAGCTCAGAGAGCCTTTTTTTGGTTTTATTGAAGTTTTACATGGAATAAAGAACTTAGTTTTCAATTTAAAATTGTTACGTATTTGTCCTCAAAACAGTTTAGATAACTGTTACGTATTTGTCCTCAAAACAGTTCTGATAAGGCCAATGATTTGTCAATTTAAAATTGTTTTTGAAGTAAAATGAATGTAAGAATGACGTTATAATCCATTAATTTTGATACTGAAAAGGTTGTAGTAGCTCTTTCCTTCCCTTTTTCAGTTGCATGCACTAGGTTTCTATATTTAATAAAAATTGATTTCCTTTCTTATTTTGAATAATTCTGTTACTGAATTACTCTGGTTTGATCAACATGCAGATTAACAGTAATTTTGATCCCAAAATTTTGTAGTTTAGAAAGTTTTGATATTTTTTTGTTCCTTTCAATGAATATTAAAACTGACTAGGTATCAACTAGCTCAGAGAGCCTTTTTTTGGGTTTATTGAAGTTTTACATGGCATAAAGAACTTAGTTTTCTAATTTTCCTTTAATTTTACTATTTTTTTAGATTCAATCCCATGGGTCTGATGCGATGGTTGATGAAGAACACTGCGTCTTCTTTTTCCCTCACCGTCCGAGGGGAGAAATATGCGAAAGTCCACTTTTCCTTTTCATGAAAGGGACAGGTATGCTGAAGCTTCATTTGTGTGTGAAATAAGATTTTGGAAATCCCAATTTTGTTTTTCAGTGCTTGTATCCTGGAAGCTAGAAATTTTGAAAGAATATTAAGTAAAACCAAAGTTATAATTCTTGTTGATAAGTATAAAAGACTATCATCTTGTTATTATAAGTTAGGATTTTGATCGAATTGTACTTATCAATAGGTATATGATAAGTTAGCCCTTCAAATTATCAAGGAAATTTAAAAAAAAAATACTTCGAGTAATTTCTAAATTTGTCCTTACTGAGCAAATTCTTTTTAGAAGAGTAAATCTTTGTCGTCACAAAGGATTGTATAGATTGATACAAATAGTTTGAAGCATGGTCATAGTTGTGGGTAAACTTTTTATTCCAAATTAGACAATATCCAGATTTTTTAAAGTTATTGAAGAATTTTGAATTGTTTGGTTAACTAAGGCTCCCTCTGAGATCTTATAGGCTATGAGTATATTTAATGATAGCAAAATTATATTTTACTATCGACATCTAAGAACAACGTAGTTATTGCGGATTGCTGCTTTTATTGGAAGAATCAACTTTATTAGTTGTTTATTATATTTATTTGAGAGGGTAATGAAAGATAGGCTTAGAAAAAACACGCAATATGAGAGTGTTAATTTTGTTTTATTTTTATTTTTATTTTTATTTTGTATTGAGGCAATTATTGGTCTGTACAACTATTTATATAATGATTTAAATGTATTTTTATAGGCCATCAAAAGGTATAAGATCAAATGATATGAGAATTGATTTGGCCAGCTTTAAGAAAAAATGTATTGGTCTTTAGTTAAACGATAGTAAAACTATGTATGATGGAATATTCATAGTTGTTTTGGAGTGACTAAAGAATTTTTATGAAGAATAATATAACAAGGATCGACTTATATTCCTGTTTTTTTATTACTAATTGTGAAGATGTTTTATGGAAATTATTAAAAAGTGAGCTGCTTTTGTGAATAGTTTCATAAATCATATGGTTTTGGTAGGTATAATATTTTTGAATTATAAATTTTTTTTATTCACTCGTGATTAGTATAGAAATTTGTTGCACGTAGTGTGATCTACTAATTCATAAACGCGCAGGACAATTTTACTTGACATTACTAGTAGATTTAGTGACATCTTTTATTTTTATGTTGTTAGTAGAGTTGCTTATGAAAGATATTCAAGATAATATTCATTTTTGAGTACTTATCATTAATCAGAATTTTGATAGGTTAAATATTTTTGTAACTATAAAGGTATTGTAAAAGAAAATTCAATTGTGATTGGTAGAACAAAAAATGGATGTATGCCACGAAAGTTAGTAAATTTCAAACGTGAAATTTGTGAATTTTACTCGACATTCCTAGTAGATCAAAAGATACCTATATGTGATCAGTTTATGTATATATCTTGAATTTTTTTTTTAAATAAAAGAAAAGGATATAGCTGGAACATTATTTTCAGAGTTGAAGCTGGATGTGTAGAATGGCGAGGTGCTTGAAGAAACTTGTTATAAGAAAATGATAAAAGAAAGGCATTTTTCATAAAATTGCAATTTGGCTACTTATATTTCGTAAATCTAGTATGTTGCAAAAATAACAATACAAAGGCCGGCATGATTAAATTTGGAAGGACATGAAATGGTTAATTTTAAAGTGGTGATTGAAGGGACACTCATTATTGTCGAGGTGTGTTTGAGATGGAAATAAAGTTGGAAGAATTAATTTATAATCCCTTAAATTAAGGAATTAGAATTAATTTGTAATCACTTAAATAGAGGGAATTAGAATTAATTTGTAATCCCTCAAATTGAGGGAATTAGTTAAATAGTTTCCAAATTTAGGAATGAGTCAGTTTTCTATTTTTTCTCCTTGTAATCTCCTATATAATACCATGTATTATCAATTCAAAAATTGAAGGAAATACAAAATTATTTTCTCTCCTTTCTGATTTATCACAATTATCAATAAGATATTCAAAATTGGATTAGACGTGTGCAATAGATGGTAAATTACAAATATAATATTTTCCAATTTTACTTGACATTGGCAGTAGATCAAATGATACCTATTTGTTTTTAATATATTTATATATCTTGATTTTTTATTAAAAGAAAAGGATATGGTTTGGGATATTATTTTCAAAGTTTAAGTTGGATGTGTAGAATGGTGAGGTTCTTGAAGATCAAATGATACCTATTTGTTTTTAATATATTTATATATCTTGATTTTTTTTATTAAAAGAAAAGGTTATGGTTTGGGATATTATTTTCGAAGTTTAAGTTGGATGTGTAGAATGGTGAGGTTCTTGAAGAAACTTGTTATAAGAAAATGATAAATGAAAGTTGTTTTTCATAAGATTACAATTAGGCTGCTTACATTTTTTAAATCTCCAAAGACTGACTTGACATATGGAGCTTGGGAAATGGAGAACTCCATGGTCATGTCGTGGCTGATCAACTCCATGGAAGCGTCGATTGGTCGTTCATATATGTTCCTTTTGATAGTGCCTTATGGACGGTAGTCTGTGATACCTGCTCAGACGCAGGAAATTCCTGCCAACCCTACGAGGTGTCTAACAAGATCCGATAGACAAAATAGGGATCAAGGACCGACGACCGTGACCTCTTACTATAATGACCTAGTTGCAATATGTATGGAATGCTACCTGTATTATGACTACACTTGAGACTCTCTAGCCGATCTTTCTCTCCCAGAAAACTGCAGAAAAAGATCGCATGGTCCAATTCCTAATTGTAGAAAGGATCACATGTTCCATTTCATAATTGTAGAAAAGGATCGCATGTTCCAATTCCTCGCAGGCCTCAACAAAGACCTTGACGAAGTTCGAGGCTATATTCTTGGCTGAGATCCTCTTCCTATCGCTCACGCTACTTTCATTGAGATTCACCACGAAGAGAGTCAGAGACTTGTCATGCTCGACACTTCCACCCCCCTTTAACCGAATCATCCGCCTTGGTCTTTAATAGTGTTCAACCCTCTTCCATGTCACCTCGGACAAGTCACCACATTTGTGATTACTGTCACAAACCCAACCACACTCGTGACAAGTGTTGGAAGCTTCACGGAAAACTGACATACAAATCTTCGACCAAATCCTCTGTTGCTAAAGGTCTCACAACGACATCAGATTCTACCACGGTTCAACCAGCTCTTACCCCGAATATTCTGCAATCCTCCGACTCTCTGAAAAGTAAGATGAGGTACTTAAGCTAATTAGATCCAATCAGTTCTCTACTGATCCTTCGACTGCACACATCCGTAAAGGTACTATTCTTATGATATACACATCGTTTACCTTCTATAGTCCGTGAATCTTTGATTCAGGTGCCACAGACTAGTCACAAGCTTTCTTAATATACTATAAGGTTAGAATTGTGAATTTGCTTTCATAGTCCCATTGTTGGTAAAGGGTCTGTTGTTCTAACTGTCGGTTTAAATTTGGAATTTGTTACATGCACCATTGTTGAAGTGTAACATTTTATCTATCAGTAAGTTTATGTATGACAAACATTGCGTTGCTCATTTCTCATCTAATGTTTGCGTCTTTCAGAATCTTTGTTCAGGAATGATGAATGGAACTGCTAATCGGGTAGCCAAACTCTACTACTTCCAAGGGAAAAATGCGGAGAACTGAGGACATGCCACTTAACAGTTGTAGTTTATCTCGAGTCACTAAATGTCTCATTATATTATTGCATTGTCGTTTAGGTCATCATAATTTCTAATATTTAAAACATTTGTATCCATTAATGTTTTCTAATAAAAGTTTTTAGTTTCAATTGTGAAATGTATCAGTTAGCCAAACATCATCGGTTCATTACCCACCCCACTTACACTCCTTATGCTCTTTTTTCACTCGTTTACAGTGACATATGGGGATCCTCTAGCATTGCTAGTTACACCAATAAACGATGGTTTCTTTGATTGATGACCACACTCAGATGATGTAGATCTATACTTTAAAAGATAAATAAAAAATTGTTGTCACATTCCAAAACTTCCACACCTCATTTTGACCCAATTCAAAATTCCATTTCATGTCCTGCAGATCAACAATGGTCGTGCATTTTAACTTTATTTTAGGTGACTTGTCAGTGGTAGGGGCATCCTCCACCATAGCTCGTCTATGGACACTCAACAAAATGGGGATCCTCTAACACTGTCGGCTATACTAATAAACGGTGATTCCTTTAATTGATAAACGCACTCAGATGATGTGGATCTATATTTTAAAATATAAATTGAAAATTGTTTTCACCATCCAAAACTTCTATACCTTCATTTTAATCCAATTCAAAACTCCAATGCAGGTCTTGCAGATCAACAATGGTCGTGAGTTTTTTTAACTCTAGTTTCTTGGTGAGCAGGGGCACACTCCATCATAGCTTGTGTACGAACACTCAACAAAATAGGATAACCGAGAGAAAAAAATAGACATCTCCTCGACGTTGTTTGCTCTATTATGTTTCAATCGATGTCCCAAAAATTTGGAATGATGCCATATTGATTGTCACCTATCTCATAAATAAATTACCCTCTAAAATTCACAATTTATGAACCCTCTTGTAGTCTTGATGTCATGCTTTCCTGCCAAACGAGTCAATTTCACTTTAGATCCCAAAATATTTGGGTGCACAACTTTTATTTGGAACGCTGCCCCCACTCGGAGTAAAATTGATTCTAGATCCATAAAATATGTTTTTTGTAGGTTCTCTGCTGTTTAAAAAGGGTATCAATGCCTTGATCCTATTACAAACAAAATTTATGGAGTGTTGATGTCTCATTTTTGTAAATGTTCTCTATTTTTCTAACTCGACCTCAAGTGAGGGGGAGATAGAGTTCTTGGACATTATTTATTATCATACTCCTATGAATGTTCCTCCCATTGTTCCTGCCACCGAAGAATCTCCGATTCTTGTTGTTTCACCACCTCCTCCTCCCACTCTCTGTGTTTACACTCGAAGCACTGACCCAGATGCCCCCATTCTGGAGCCTGCTACCTCCTTGCAGGATCTTGAGTCCACTTCTAGCGACATCTCCAACTTTATTACAAATGAGGAGGTGAGTTCCCCAAGTAAGGTACAAAATTAGGCATGCTCTCTCTATTCTATGACATAATATGTCTATTTCCGCAGTTTAACGCTTACCTACAGAGTATTTGCTACTACTTTGACGGATCATCAGATCCCGACTACCATTAAGGCTTCACTAGCGGATCCAGTTTGGAAAGCTGCAGTAATGGAGGAGATGAATGCTCTTCAGCGGAACCATCCATGGGACATCATAGATATTCATCAGGCTAAGAAAGCAGTGGAATTTAACATCATGTTCAACTCAGATGGATCCTTTGAACGCAATAAGACACAGTTAGTCGCCAAAAGATACTCACAGACTTACGAAGTTAACTTTGAGGAGACATTTTCTCCGGTGGCCAAATTAAACACCATTCGGGTCCTGTTTTGTCTTGCGGTGAATTTGGATTGGTCATTATTTCAACTCGATGTCGAGAATGCATTTCTGAATGGAGATCTTACAAAGGAGGTGTGTAAATGTTCCTCTTCTGGCTTTGACTCTACTGCCTACACAGGGCAAGTGTGCCGACTGCAAAAGTTTTTATATGGACTAAAGCAATCCCCACGGGTCTGGTTTGAGAAGTTTACAAAGGTAGTAGTGGGTCATGATTTTCTCTTGCTTAATCAGATCAAACTCTCTTTTTCCGACATTCATGCAATGGCTAGATTGCTATTCTTATCGTCTACGTTGATGATATTGTGCTCACAGGAAATGATCTATTGACATTTGAGTCTTTGAAAGGCATTCTAGCTGTGCCTTCATTTCCGATACTTCTTAAGCATGACAATTGCTCATTCATCTCGGGGGTTTTTGTTTGTCTCAACACAAATATGTGATTGACATGTTAATTGAGAACAATCTGCTTCTGTGCAAATCGGTGGCTGTCTCAATGGATCTCAAGGAAAAAAAATATATGATGTTCTCAATGTTGTTCCAGTTAATAAGACTCATTACCAGCGTCTTGTGGGAAAACTCACTTATCTAGTTCATACACACCGCTACATATGTCATGCGGTTGGTATATAGTAAGCCAATTCATGCATGACCCCTACGAGTATCATCTCCATGTTGTCCATCAGATTCTCCACTATTTAAAAGGCACATCGGGCTCCAGTTTATTTTTCTCTTGACACACCTCTCATTCTATTGTTGTTTATACAGATGTTGATTGAGCCGGATCAGTCCATGATCGATGATCTACCTCCAGGTACTGCTCATTTTTGTGGGGAAATCTTGTCACATGGAAAAACAAAAAGCAGTCGGTGGTTGCCCGGAGCAGTGCCTAAACTTCATGTCTCTCAATCTTGATCACTAATCCTTTGAATGATGATTTTTATACTCCTATGGGAATAACCGTTGCTGGCCGTTTCCATCTTAGAGATCAAATGGTTCGAAATCAAATTACCTAATTGCTAGGTTCTCTCATGTGTTGATGCCAAAATTGGAAGGGAACTTTTTCCTAAATTTCTTTGAAGTGGATGGTTGAATTGACATCCTAGTTCTCTCCCATAATGGGGGAACTTGAAGGGACATTTACATACATATCACCCAATTCATATGCATTTACATATCTAACACCTAATCTTTGCTGTTTCACATTATACCACCCAAATCCTTCACATCACATAAAAAAAATGCTACTATTTTAAATTTTAAAAGTGAATACACCTTTCATGCATAGGTAAGGTGGTTAGGTAGGTATGCATGTAACACTTGAAAAATTTTAAGTCTTCGCGCTATCGGGTTTCTTCTTCACTTATTTATCTTTCTTTCTACTTAAATTTCTCTTCATGTTGAGTTCATTTTTTCTTGTATGTGGCTAAGAATTAGTTCATATTTTTTCAATGTGGCCTGTAGTGTTACTTACTGTAGTTCAGGTAAACGCATTAATTAATTTATTTATATTTTGAAGGATGAAATCGACCCACTTTGACAACAAATAAGGATGAAATTGGATATACTATGTCTTTGTTTGAGTTCTAGTCGGTCCGACGAATTTTGCTGATAAATTTTAGCTTAACGAATTAAATTTGTAATTGTCCTTTGTCTTTACATTTAAAAATAAAAAAAAGGTTATTTACATACACACCACACAATCATATATATACATATCTAACACCTAAACATTTGTTGTTACATGAATACCACTCAAATATTTAACATCACATCAAAAATACCAACATCACTCTCTTTTTGAAAGTGAAATACACATCTTCATTCATATGTTTATGACAACAAATTGCAAGTGTAACATCAAACTTTGGGTGTTACATATAAAAATACATGAGAGTTGTGTGGTATGCATGAATGAAAATGTTTCTCCGTTGTAATTTTTTGTTCTAGTCATGGGAATCTTTCTTATGGCCAGTTCCCTTCTGTTTTCTTTTCCAACTAAATCAAATGATAGCATAATGAAATCACCCAAAAATTTAGTCATAAATTTTTCACTAAAAAAATAAGTTTCCTTTTGTCAGTTGCTTGAAATCTTCAATATAACCATTTTTATTTTTGTTTCTTCTTTTCCAACTGTATCAAATAATAAAATAATCAAATCACCCAAAAATATAGTTATAAATATAGTATCACCTTTTTTCACAGGTTGGTCTGGTGCTGGGGCTGATCATTACGAGCCTTTGTTGGCCAGTCCTATGCCGCTTATCTCCCAGGAAAATGCTGCTTTTGTTCTTTGAGGATTTTTTCAATCTGAGCAATTTTGTGATTCAAATTCTTTTGTAGTTCCTTTTTTCCTGAAAATTGTTAATTTTTGAGGATGGAAGAACAATTCCGGCTGCTTGACATCTACTGATGCTAACAAGAACATTGATTTGAGAGGATTATGTTAACCATGGGAGTGATTAAACCTTTAATTTCCTGTACTTTGATTTTCTATTTGAGTGATTGAATAAAATTATAAAAATTTATGATGTTATATTTTTGATTTTTTCTGCCAGAAAACTATTAAGTATTTCTTTAGTCTACAAATTTTTTTTTTTTTTGTGATAGAAGCAATATATTCAGCCTTCAGGCTTAGTTTTGCTTTTTACGTCTTGATCATGTTTCAGTTTTGAGAATTTGACAATGTGTGGCATATTTTTGAGGCATTGACATATCTAACAACTAAAATTTCATATTTTCATAGCACTTAAATTTTAATATCACATGAAAAATACCACTTCTGCTAATTTTCTTAAAATGAAATACACCTTTTCATCATAGGTTCATGACACCAAACTGTTATGCATGTAAATATCAAACTTTAGGTTTTAGATATGTAAAAAAAATACCACTTCTGCTAATTTTCTTCAAATGAAATACACCTTTTCATCATTGGTTCATGACACCAAACTGTTATGCATGTAAATATGAAACTTTAGGTTTTAGATATGTAAATACAAAAGAATTGTTGGGTATGTATGTAAATTTTCCTATGTTGTTTTATGGTTTAGGGTTTAAATTACACTGTGTGCAGTTGTATCGTTGTGTTCCCAACCATTTGTGTATCAGATCATGTAATTGTGAGATGACATTTTTTTTAGTACTGTTTATGATGAGTGCCCTGAGTACTTCATATGCCTGGAACTTCATCAGTTCTTTGAGAGAGTTGTAATAATGCTTTAGGATTTGTTATGTCTTGAGGGATATATTGCTATTCATTTTGTATTGTTTGTATTTGGTGAAAATAGAGTGGGAGTCCATGACAATTTCTGTATCGGCCTGAAGAATGACATAGTTTGGTTTTGGTTTGGTGGGGTTCATGTATGGACTTGGGCTAGCTGGGGCTTTTATTATGTAACAATTGTGTGTTATGTGTGCACATATTTGCTATCTGATTGTAATTTTGATTTTTGCTTTCTGATTTCATTGATTGCCAAAAAAAAAAATAAAAATAAAATAAAATGTCAATTCGCCCCCATTGGTTGTTATTGTTAGCACTGAAGTCTCAAACATGCACACTTAAATTTTGAATGTCATACAATAAGATTATGTTGTTCATGATATGGTAGTTTATTTTTGTAAAGCAGCTAGCCAAAATCTTAGTAATTTTAGAGAAGGGTAACGATGTTTGAAGGTGGCAGGTGGCATTGAATTTATGTATGGTTTATATGAACGTGTATGTTTGGAATCATTGAAACATCATTTGCAGATTATAAAAATTGATGTTTTAGTGGTAGATGGTTTGAATCTCTATTGTAAGCTTAAGTCAATAATGTTGAAATATAAGAAATCTGCATATGATAGAACGATGCAGAAGCTTTGTCTTGAGGTTGAGCAAATTGATGTTTGTGTGAGTAGTTACAAGTTAATTATGCTAAGATATGTGGAATGTATGGATGCTTTTGATTTAATCATTTGAAGTTGATGAACATATGATTTGGCATGCTAACTCTTGAGGGTGTATTGGCACAAGCATGAAATAATCTATATTGTGCCTATTCATTAATTATGAAGTGTATGTGTTTAGTTAGGGATATGTACGTATGTGGATTTAATTATTTTGTTGGGGCATGGTGGCATTATAAATTTCAATGGGTTCGGCACAGATCAGCCCTATAGAAGGTTAAGGATGAAGTAAAAATAAAAAAAGATTTACTTATATGGCACTGAAATTTTATATATTTACATATATAATACCAAAACTTTAATTTATATATATACTTATAGAAGGTTAAGGATGAAGTATTACTTATATGGCACTGAAATTTTATATATGCAACCTAGCTTATGCATGCATGACAATGTATGCTTCTTTTTTTAAATGTCTACATAATGATATCTTTTATGTGGTATAAAATGTTTTGGTTGTTAGGAATGTAAAAAGGTAAAGTTTAGATGCTAGGTATGTAAATGCATTTGCATGTAAAGTTTGGTAATCATGTATATATATGTCAAACAAATTCAAAAATTTAAACTGTTAATTCAATATTAAACTTTAAAATTATATAAATAAAGTTTAACTTAGAATTTTAAAAACCCAAGTTAAATTAAAATACAAAATTACCGGCCACCATTTGATTGGCTAGATGAGGCATTTTCCAATGAAAAGTGTGGCGGAAGGAGGAAGAAGAATTCACAACCATCCATCGTATGGTTCGAACCAAGCCGACAAGGCAAAAAGTTAGCACAAGGCGATGATTCGATGGTCCAAGCCTGAATCATTCAGTAAAAAATAAGAACAAAAGAATGTTTGAGCTAATTATTACAGAAAAGCCGACCCGATGGAAGTCTAACCTTCAATAGAGTTGATCCAAGAAAAGATCCAGTTTAACAATATCTCCAACCATACTATGTTTGCCTCAAATGCTTCTCAGAGAGCAAGGATCGTCAACTATGACATATCAGTCAGTTGACCATTGACCTAGCTCTGCTGACCAAACTGATCCCGTCGACCTGTACCCAACTAATCAAGCCAGAAAATAGCCGGTCGACAAGGCTATACATGTAGAATACTAGAAATATCATATCATAGATCTTTTAAATCAGAGACAAAAATATAATATCATCATTGTACCCTATCCTCTATAATAGGAGAATTATTGTATGAATTAGACGATGGATTACCGTTCATTCCTCTCTCACTCTCTCTCTCTCTCTCTCTTTATATATATATATATATATATATATATATATATTCTTATTTAAACTCTATTCCTTGTGTCTGATTCAAGAATACATTAAGATTCAACATGTTTGAATTAGTTTGAATTAGAACTTTAGTTTGAACCATCAACAAAACATTGTACGAACTTCATTAAAATATTATTTGAAATTCAGTTTGACCATTAGTAAACGTTGTGCGAAATTGATTCATCTGTTATTTAAACCAGCTCAAAAAATAATTAGACGACTTCTAAACAAGAGTATGGTTAACATTTCAACTAGCTTCAAGCAATATTTGAGCGAAATTCATGCATAATTTGAATATAAAGCATCACTACAATACATTGCACTTAACAATCAATCACACAACATAATCAAACTATGAGATAACAAAGTGCAATCAAAATAATGATAACGATGGAATTAAACATTGATGCAACATAATGCAATCATAACAACCATCCCACAACATAATTTGGCTTTGATATATTCACAGTCATAATTATAGCCACACAATAGAATTTAATTTAATGCAACAAAATTCAATTTATATCATTTGAAATATACCTCTTCACACACATATTATTAGTACTTAATAATATTACTTCATAGAAATACCCTTCACCTAACCAAACCAAGGTTAAGAATCCCAAAAGGATTCTTGGGCCAATCCTTCTCCTTAGCCTTCATGAGCAAAACCCTAACCCAAGCCACCCAGCCCTCCCATGCCACCCTCTTATCCCATGCACTCCCCCATTCCAACAACAACCTCAGCCCCCTCTCCGCCCCCCCCTCCGCACCCCCCCCCCTC